ACAAAATTCTAAAGGTTTGAAAATAATAAGAAATGTGTTATGAACCGATAATTTTATCATACGCTTAGCTTATAGGGGAAGCAATGGAACTGGCACAGTTAACACTTCAACAAACTAGTGGGTCCCTTAATAAACAACGCAAAAAATTGTTCTGTGTATGCCAAACTTCGATGGACCTATTTGTCGCGATACATCCAAAAAAAGGTTCGCTCCGACTGGTCCAGTAAACACAAAAGCTCGGTACTATCCTATTGCTTTTATGAAAGTCACGTGTCAGAAAGACGAGAAAGAATATTCGAAGCGATAGCATCTGTGAATGAAGGAATCTGAATCATTGGAACGTTCTTCAAATATTTGACCGCTGGTTTTTTTTTCATACGCATTTACGTGCAGTCCATACTCGCAGCCATGTCAGTGGTAGCATAAATCAATACAGGATTTATTTGCCAGAACGCAAGTGAGACCGCTTTAGCCTCTTCGATAAATTGTCATTATACGGTACATTTACTAACCTTAGATAGATTTATTTCAGTTTGCTGATGCCTTCCACGTTAATAGAGCATATGAGTCTGACTAAGTCTCTAAAAGAGCTGAAAACAGCAGAATGGCGTAGGTAGGGAAGCCTCCTAAATGAAGAACACTTAGTTCGAGAATAGCAAGTGTGAGTTCTTACCTCCTTTTTTTCTCTGAAGTCCCCATAAGCGAACTCGCATATTGAAGAACTACTCGATTTTTGTTGCGTTGTAGGAACTTCGATTTAATAACTTGTAACAGCTATTTTCTCGTTTGTACTTGATCAACTGGTTCAGCGTAAGGCTCAAACTAAAGCAATGACGATCCACTAAAATTTGTTCAACGATCAGCCTGCATAGTTGTCTCCGCTTTTTATTCATTCTCAATGAGGGTTTTCTTTCGTCAGATACAACAATATTGCTCCAGGTTGGATTGTTGCCAATGGCCGTTAGATTAAAAATGCACTTTTCAAAGTTGCCGTTATGAAATGTGGGTCGTCAGCCTGATTAGTCAATTCTGGCCATAGATGTATCTGACATGACCGTGCTTGTTGTGAAATAAAGATCAAGAAATTCTCTGTTGCCGCGAAGTGTGGCAACGGTTTATTGCCGAACGACAATATCTTTATTAAGAAGTTCAACGTGGTAGTTAAAAAAAAAAAGAAAACGCTATTTTAATCTATGGGGGCTCACTTGTAAAAAAAGATTGTCTGACCCTATACGATAGTGAGATCTATTGGGCTTCGTGGAGGTGGAAAGCGAAGCGGTAAATGCATTGAGAGATTGAAACAACCCGGGTAAGATAGTCGTGATAGCCGTTCGCTAGCGGGTTGCGTACTTCCCTTTTTTCCACAATACCAACGAGATAAACCAACCGACGCCGAGACAGGGTCTGCTTCTTAATAGAGCGATAAGAATTCGATTACAGAATTCCCGTGATTCCTTAGTACACTAGAACTGCTCGTTCTGTAGGGGGCCCTCGAGTCGAACGGCCGTTGCTTCTTCAGGTGTGGGGACTGCTCAGACTTTTCGAAGAACGGGGCGGTAGCGAATTCAGGAGAAGGCGAGGCTAGTCCAGGGTGGACGGGAACAGGGACGGGCTTAAGCTTCTTGCCAAATATAACTGAACTGTACGTACCACAGCTACGTCACCGTTTTTCGCCTTTTCCCATGTTTCGTTCGCGCAACTGCCAGACAGGTTTTGCTCTTGTACAGTTCCGGCGTATTGGTCCCTTTTTTTAAAGCGAATAGCTGCATATCTGATGCTTATAAAATCTTTGAAGTTCGCACAGCAAACGCTGGAGTAGGTATGCTCTCTGTGAAGGAGAACCGTAGTGGTAGCTCCCGTCTCTATTTTCCGGTGCAATATCTGGACTCTATGGCTTTCCGATATCGTATGAATATTTCTGGGTTCTATGTAGCGTTAGCAGCATATATATGTATATACGGGAAAACAGGAAATAGATAGAATAGGCCTATACCAGGTCATGTCAGCTCCATAAGAAACGAGTCCAGATTGAGAAAAAAAAAAGCCAGTTTCCGCTTTATTCAATCAGATGAGGTCTAATAACCTTTGCAGTAATACTTTTTTGCCATATGAAACTGCTCTAAGTGCGCACAAACTCGCTAAGTGAAACCAGACATTACAAGCTTTCTACGTGCTAAAAAAGGTTCCTGTTTAATACCTGATTGGTGCAGTTCTTCGAATTGCCACTAAGTTACCCATACTAGTAAACTTGATTTTTTTCAGATATTTGTTTCTCCCCAAGTTTGACGTGATGTAGCACTTTTCCAAATCCACGTTCATAGCCGCGTAGGAGTTATCCGTAGTTCACAACAAAGAATGTATGTTTATGTATATCATCATCATCATCATGACCATCAAGGTGACCGAGATGAAAGATAAAAGGCTAAATTCGCTGTCAAATAACTGGCTGGATTGTCAAAAGGTTTTTGTGCGGACGTCTTTTCCCATTCCTGATACTGTGTAGCATGTGGTGATGTTTCATGCCTATATTCCCCCTATGGCTACGGAAGTAATGTACAAAAGTAGCGGGTGCTATGGATTGCTCTTGGCAAGTTTGAAATTCTTTTTTCATAGCTTCACCGTAAATTAACAAAACCTCCAAAAGCGTTCAAACTATTCTAACGTGATGTCAGATTACAGTATGTGTAACTTGCTAGCAACTCTGCGTTCCCGACATTGCTGTTTACATGAGATCGTGGCGCTTATGGGACACGTATTCCAAGCTGAAAATAAGATAAGGTGGGAATTAACTTCTCGACTAAGCCAATGATTTACACAACTGGGATGGGAAACCAATGGTCCGACGATAATGAAGACCATTCTAGTTGGCTTCTTCTCAGCCTCTTTAAGTATACGCCAACTGCTCATTCAGTGATGCGTCTTCAAAAATGGCATACAGGTACAGTACCTTTCTAGAAGAAAAAGGCCTCAGTGTCAATAATGCTCTATTATCTCCGACAAAGAAACGTTCTTCAATATCGCAAGATACAATTTGTTCTGTAAAACGTCAAAAATAATCATAACAATTGAAGCCTTCAAAAATCTTAGAATGGATTGAATCAGATTATATAATATTATCACGAATCGTTGCAGGCTTGCTTACTGGAAGCTAGCTCGAAAAATGGGAACTAAAAGGATCCGGATTATCTTTCAGTGTACCAGAAGCCAGCCTGTGACAGTACATAACTAAAAATATCCATAGGTATATTCTATAGGTAATATGTCTTTCATGTTTTAAAATATCGAGGGTTTCTGACAAACTTGTGGGATTCGAACATTTAATTCATTTAGCATTCGACCATTCTTAGCTATTACTGATAAATCCCGTTTTGTATGCCCAACTTTTCTCAAAAATCATAAAACGCTTCCTACATGGCGCCACGATCTGAGAGGGCTCAGTTCAATTAAACCGATTCCGCGTTCTCTGTCCTAGACAATGATTTTCGAATGTGCTTACACTCTTCTAAATGAAGCTTTCCAGCAATCAGAAGGTTTCTACCTCGTCTCCTTGTAAGCTATCTCGTCCCGCTGGCAAAAAATTTGCAGGGAACCTTTTAGCAGAAATTGCTTTATTTTTGTTAAATGAAACAGAGAAGAATCAGAGAGAAAAGCATATTGTTTGGGACTAGAAAGCGAGCCAATTTAACAACGATGTTGTCATGTGTCCCGTATGCTAAGCGGAATCGATGTCATAAACGTACGAGAAAAATCGTCGGAACGCTCTTTCGTCGTGCTGATATTTAAACGATCGCTCTGGAGCTAAAAATTATCCAGTCATTAAAAGCAACAATCTCGAATTCAGTATCACTGTCATACTTTAGAAAGCATCAATACAGGCCGGTGAGTTAAAGGTTGACGATGTACCTACAACACAAACATGCGTTGTTATCTGTAACGTAGATACGGCATGTCTGCTGCAAGCAGGTTGATTGTTTAAGCGAACGTTTACAATAAAGTCGACAAAAACTATCGATGAAGCGTAGATGTTATCAATGAGGTCATCAACTGGCGCAAGTGATAACTATCAAAAAACGTTGTCTTCTACTAGGGCACTCACAATGGAATCGCATTAGTCTAATTATATCTGAAGGGTTCGCGGTTTCTCGTTCGAGCAGTCTAGGTTTCTATATTCTGGTTACCAGCTTGACTGTAACTGTAGAAGCACAATCTAACAATATCAGAATCTTCAACTGAGTGAAGAATAATTTCCTATAGAGAGAACATATCCGAAGATGTGTCGAAATTTCTTTGACATTTCACTTCTCGAAGTTTACAAAGTAGCCTGTACATTGATTGAAAGTATGAAATAGTGGTTGATATTAATTCTCCTGGCGGAGAAAAGATGAAAGCCGACTGCTTTTGAAATGTCTTTGATGACTTCATGCATCAAAATTGCGGTCGCGGAGGACGTTAACATCGACTGTGCCTTAGAGACACAGACTTACAACAACAGAGAAAGGTCGCGCACCCTTATTTCCAAGAATATGCGAATATATAGATGTTATGCGTCTAAATAGTAATGACCAATTCGTTTCCGGGTTCTTATGGCCGTTTAGGCGACTATGAGATTACTGCTGGGCTATTTTAGCGCGGGTTTACAACTTATGGTTTTGGTGTTTTTTTCTGAGTGATAATTCAGTGTCGATAACTGCCTCACATATTCGACAAGAAAAACCGTATGTTAGTTCTTCTCGAAAATGCATAGGTCGTTATTGATACTTTATTTTCTTACCAAATAACACTTTTTACAAAAAAAAAAA